GAAATGCTCCAAAGCAAACTAATATCTACTAGACCTGTCATCATCTTTTTTCCTACTACAAAGCTTGAATATGTGATGACTTTGTGTTATCTTTAAAGTTAGTTCTCTCCTTTATCCTCCACAATTAACAAGACCATATTTTTTCTTGTATACATTATGAACATCCATCCCTTCTGCATGCTGCCCTCACTCTGGTTCAAATCTTCACTGCTTGTCACTGTCTTCACTGCCAACAGCTTCTTTGTTGGCCTTCTTCACCACAGACATTGCTCTACCAATTTATTTGTATATCATGGCTAAGCGATTCCCTAAAACCATTTTCATGAAGTTAGTCCTCTGCTCAAAAACCTTTAATTCCCTTCCCCCTCTTTCATGTCAAGTGTAAATTCCAGCCTAAATTCCAAGACTCTTCGTAATCTAGTCTTACACACACATCTTCTCGACTTAGATCAGCTTCTCTTCACTATCTCCCAAATCTATCCCTGCCATGCTTTATTTATGCTTTTTCACCCCTACCCCACCCCTGGATCACCATGCCTTTATTCCCTAGGTTCATTCAGATTCTAAATACTTTAAGGTCCAATTCAAATTCCACTTTCTTCATTAAATTTTCTTGACTACTCTCTGTATTCTCTCTTCCCCTATAAATATGGTAATACTGTCCTTATCACATAGTTTAAAAAGTATATCATAAACTGCAGATTATAATTATTTACTATTTTTAAATTGTTTGCCATTTTCTCATATGTTAATGCTACTTTTCTAAATGGAAGTTATGTACTTCTATATGTGAAATTACCTAATAAAGTGATGAGCACAAGGCATGCACTCTAAATTACCTGTTGATTGATTTTTCAAGACCAGTCCTGAAAAAATTTGTCATTTTTAATCTCATGTATCTGTACCAAATGCATGTTAAATACCTGACTATATAATTAAACAAGTTTTCTGAATAAACGTCCCTTTTAACAATCAAAATGTTGAGGAAGTTTTATAATAAACCAAAAGATCCAAAAGAAATCAGCTCAAATAGTACATCACTGAACAGCAGGAGTCAAATCATACCCAATAGAATCGGAAGGGGGTGCGGAAGGGGATGATCCAGACGTAAGGGTGGTCTCTGCTAGGGAGGCCTCCTCCTGTGGTATTGGGTGGTGTTCAAAGAACTTGGAGACAAACAGCAAACTGTGAGGCAAAAACAAAAACAAAACAAAGCAAACCTAACTTGTGCAAAACCCAGAAGCTTCATATACCAGAATATAAAGTTAAAGGAAATATCTGAGATCAAATTCCACTTTCAGAAATGATTAATTCAATTAGTTGTGTTTTTGTCTAAAGGCTCATTTAAAAAAATTATATTGTATTTTCAAAGGCAACAGAATCTAAAACCAATTGCTCTATACAGCAAATTTCTACATATCAGAGGAGAAAAATCATGCTTTATGGTTAAGAAATTAGAAGAAAATTTATCATCATTGTGAAGTTAGATTATATCATTACAACATACTTTAAAGTTCAGAGCTAAATTCTATTTGCTCAAGTGATCAAGAAAAGTAATAAGACCTTAGCAGCAGCAATATCAACACCACACACACACAAAGGTTAAAAAAATCTCAGTCTAATCTATTAGAGAAACTACCATGAAAAAGCAAACAGAAATTTTAGAAAGAGATCTGCTAGGTATAAAGACTTTATATCTTACTTTAAAATCACTTAGGGGTGGGGTTAAGGGATAGGGAGAAGGAGGAGAGGGAGAGGAGAGAGGGAGAGCGAAGGAGGGAGCGAAAGAGAGAGAGAGAAAGACGAGGCGGGGCGGGGGGGGGGGGGGGGGAGAAAACAGAATTCACAAAATAGCTGACAGAATCATATCCCCCAATCTGTGGTCCAAAAATATACGGTTAATGGAAATGACACTTCTATCTTCCCCAAAATCATCTAAAAGCAATTTCAAAGAGCAAGGGATCTTTATTAATTAAAAAGAGAATATAAAACATAAATGAAATGTATAGCTGAACCAGAAGTACAGTTTTGGAGTCAAGTATAGGCTATACTACATATTATTCCCTAACCACTTTTTTTTTAAAAACCCTTGTAATAACTCTACTGGACAGAAAATTCCCACAGATTCTAAGACATCCTAGAAAAGGTAAACGTAAAATGATAGAAAAGATTCTTTTGATTACTTACTCAAGTTGGTCATAATTAACACACATCAGAGGAACCTCTGTACTACAACGCTGGTGAAATTTATAACCACATGTTTGACAGCGGAAACCCTGGAAAAGCAGCTTTCGACAAAAGTCACAAAATGCTAAGGTGAAAAAAGTTTTCCGTACCTGCAAAATAAAACATCATAAGAGGATTTCAAAAACTTGCAAGAATCTTTTTATAAATCAACTTGTTTACGCTCTTGTTTAAGATAATCTTTTCTATGTTTATATCATGAGAACTACCTTATACACTAAGATACTAAAAGGAAAACCAGTGGATTCACGATAATAGATGGACTACATGTATTATCTCCTATCCACTATCCAATTAAAAAACTCACACATCTTGATAGGAAATGAATAAAAGACTCAAAACTAATTTCAAGCTTGACTACATAAAAGTAAAAGAGATGTGACAGGAGGAGGAACAGAGGTGAAAGAAAGGAGAAGAGCACCATTTAATAATTGTATGAAGAAGGGAGGTGAGATGCTTACTGGTGTTAACAGAAAAGAAACAAAGGGTTACCTACGCTTTAAAGTTACAAAGGTATCCAACGGAGGAACCATAAAACCCCCCAAACAAAAAAGAACACATTGCAGGTTGTAATGTCAGGAATGAACTAATTCTCTGTGGAATCGGTAATCAGTAAATGATGTCTAAAGTTGAAAAAGCAAAAAATTGTGGCTTAAAGTTATTATTTAGTAATATGAAAATTATCGCCAAAAGAACTTAAAACAGACACCATTAAAAATTAAGAGTGATTTCCTCTCGAGACTGGCATTAGAGGCTCGCAGGGGATGGTGCAACAGATTATTTTTCATTATGCACTATTCTAAAACTATATACATTTGATTAAAATAGAAAAACAATTATTTATAAAAGAAAAAACTAGTTTGTAACTGTATGAAAAATCACAACAACCCTACCTAAATTTACTAACTAGGATAAGGGACAAAAAAAATCACTTAAAAGACAGTAAGAAATACTTTTAATAAGTTATTTTTTAGAGGGTTAGAACACCTAAATGTATTTGTGAACATTCCTCTATATGAAACTTAAAAGACAACATGTAAAGACTCCATATCAGAGGCAAATGATGTACAACATGGGTCACATAAACAGAACTGTGCTAAGGAGGCCCCAACTTGATAACTACCTAAGTCACAAATTGTTTGAAAAGTATTCATTTCATGTAAATAATAAGCAGAAAATGTAAGGAAGATAAGCAAATGTCGAAATGTTAAAATGGATATTTCAAAGTGGTGAGAGCATGGGTGACATCCATTTTGTCCTTTGCTGCATATTTTCAATTCATCTTAGTTTTTCAGACAGTTTTAATCACAAATGATAGTAACATATATATTTTACATTATGACCCAGGACACACGTGTATTCATATAACAATACTCACCCTAACTATATATAATATACATTAGAATTTTCTACTCTACTCTATGCTTTTCACGATCCAGTAAAATGATCTCAACACCTACAGTTTACCAAACTCTTCTCATAAGCATATATTTAATGGGATAATAAGTTATTTAAAAATGTTTTATCAAGAAAATGGTATCTTGGCACATCACCCATTCTAGCCTTTAGAGGACATTTAGGCAGTTTTAAAAATGGCTCTTGTTTTCTTCATCTTTTTTCTATTATCACTTTTTAGGGGATTTAAAAGGCAACGATGTGTTTTCAGCTTTGTTCCTTTTCCATTTCTCTCTGGATATACAAGAAATTAGAAAATCTTCTTTAATATTATGTGACCACTATTGACCAAAACCAAGAATCTTTTATCCTGCTAACAATCAGGACATAAAGCACAGAAAAATACAAAACTCTGCACAGGAATCAGCATTTTCTTTTTTGCTAACTACTCACGCCTTCACCTGTCTGATAATCTGTTGCATATCATGAAACCCTTATTTCTCTTCCCTCATCAATTGTAGTCTTTCTTTCTGTCACCAACTTATACTTGAAAACTGTGTAACTGGTTGGTTGTATATGTAAAGGAGAAAAAAAAAGACAAAAAAGGAGGGGATGAAGGAGGGAAGCAGAGAGGAGAGGAAAACATTTGAGGAGGGGAAAACATGGGTGTGCGCTTGAGTATAAACTGGAAGTGACATTTATCTGTGAGTGTGTCTTTGTCAAAAAAGATTTAGGACACAGGAAGGTATATCTTTTCTTTCGGGCCACAATTTAGGCTTATTCTGAATTCGAGCATGTTGACATGGATGGTAAACGAGTGGGAGACAAAGACCAGGCAATCTGCATGCATTAATTTGTAAGGTGCGGGGCTCTTTGAAGCAGAACATTAACCTGCCTGTAGAAAATGGGAAGGGCTGACAATGTGGCTTGTTTCAAATCTTGTTTCTCTACTTTCCCCGCCCCCTCCACCTCACCAGTTCCCAAGGGCTCCTGGGATGTAGGCAAATACTGAAGGAGTTGCTTTAATATCGGACTCTATGAAACCAGAAGGTATCAGCAGCATTCCTTGAGTAGCCGGCAAAATCCAGCACAGAGACACAAAGAGAAGAATTCTTTCCCTTTCAAAGCAGAACACAGGCTTGTACCCTTGCCTCTACATGGCACTCAGAACTGCTCTAAAACACAAATCTAATCACACTTCTCCCATTTACAATCATTAAATTTCCAATTATCTTGCAGAAAAGTCCAAATCTTTAACATGGCTTACAAGGACTCTCATGAGCTGGACTCTCCTCAATCCACGCATAACTCTTGCTATACTGTAAACCACCGCCCCCCCCACCCCCAACTTTGTAGCATCCACTCTGAACTTTTTTTTTTTAAAGCTGAAAAGGTACCGTGCTTCATTGCTGTTTACTCTGTCTTGAGTTCTTTTCCCTTCACTCTTCATCTGCTAGTCCCTCATCCATCAGACCTTAGTTTAGGTACGCCTTCCTTTGGGACACCTTCCTGACTCCTCGAAGGGCAGGACAGCAGTCTCTACTCTGTGCATCTATCTATAGCACTTCATACATACATAATAACTACAAGTGTTTATGAAATTTTCGTATTACTCATCTGTCTCTACTCTAAGGCCAGGATACTGTGTTTCATATTCACTGTTATATCCCCAGATCAGACACAGTGTTGACAAATGGAAGGTTCTCAGTAAACATTTACTGGCAGGATTTCCACACTCTGACACTAACTTGCAGTTTGCTTTCATTTTTCTCTTATGGCAAGGACCTTTCTGAGGCATTATTTTAATACTATTTTATGGTTAGCAACTTAGGTCTTCTTTCACCTCCCCATATCTGATTTCCAGCTAAGAAAAATAATTAAGAAAAAGAGTAGCAATCACTATGAAATGTAAATTCAACTGTTTTTAGATTCCTAAAAACTTAAAAATCTTAAGATTTATCCACTCAGAATTCTACAAGTTAAAATAAAATCAATAGTAATGAACTTCTTAAGTCATCACTAGAAAACTATTTGCTACATAGTAAATCTGATTGACATTAAGTATATCTTACACTTATCTAAAAGATGATTTAATTATTGAAATACCCGGTTTTGTTATTCACCACTGAGAGCGCCCCAAAAGCACAAACTCCCAAGGAAGTTATCTGTCAACTGGCTGCTTTCGGAGCCCAGCTGTACTAAATCACCAAGGCGCATAGAAAAACACTTGATGCCAAAAGGGTAGCAATAACTACCCATTTGGAAAAACATATTACTAAAATTCCATATATATAGAAAAGTAAGAAACACATTCCTGCCTTATAGATCACTCTAATCTTGGCTTTTGTCTACCCTTTTAGAGGGCAGGTTCTTAAGTGCTGGGAACTGTATCCTCATCTATAAGGTGGACAGGACCTACTTTTCAGACTTCGTGCTGGTGACACTGGGTTTTAGCAAATGATAAAGGGAGAATTCTTCAAGGAGAGTTTTAACGTCTTCCTTAAGTCTTTAAGGAGGGCTGTTTCACTTGCATTAACTCATCCTTCAGAATATTACACAAATATGTCAAGGTGTATGCAGAAAGATTCTGTTTAGCCCTGTCTTTAATCAATTAAAAAAAAAACCCCTAAATGTCTATGTAATAGAGGAATGATTAAATATACTGAATTTATGCTACTCATATGGACTATTATGCAATCATTACAAAAATAAAGGTAGGTGTACTGACATTAAAAGATGTCCATGACACACTGTTAAGTTTTTTTAAGGTGAAGAATATCACAAAAAATATAACATTTTCAGTGTAAGAAAAGGAAAGAATGGAAAATAATGAAGGGATGGTAGGGGAAGGGAGAAAAAAAAAGAAAGGAGAAAACTTTAGGCTTACAGGTATAAGCGTACATGTTTGTATACAGAGAAAGAATTCGGAAGACTATATCATAATCTAGTAACGAATATTTACCGCTGATAGGGTATTTTCACTTTTTTACTTGATATACTTTTTGCATCATTCAAATTTTTTTATTTTTTAAATAATGGACATGTATTGCTTTCTTAAATTAAAAGTAAGTATAGTGATTAAAATGAAACTCTTTAGTCTAAATACTTTAGTTTAAATGATTAACTCAGGGAAAATATCAATCCCCAAATTATTTACCCACATTTTACACTTCCTAAATAAAAATTCATTCACAAGAACACAAACATTTTCTATAATGCAAAAAAACGTAAAGGTACATACAAAGTTGTGTGTTGTAAGTGGGACATTTTCCAGCACTTCTACATGTAACTCCTCTCCAGTAAGCCAGGAAATATCGGTGTCCCAGCCAATTGGCTTCTTCTCTCTGAAAAGTGCAGACATAAACCTTTCTTGGTGATCATACCTAAAAATCTACATGTACCTCATGCTGAAGATATGAAAATTGGTTATTGAGGGGCTAGTAATGGTGAGGGAGGTTTGGCTCCCTGGTCTTCCATCGTTAGAAATTTAAATGGCAATAAATTAATTTTTAAGTTTACCCCAAATAAAGGTATCACTCTTGGACAAACAGCAGGGTAAAGAGATGTACTCTTTTCTTCAAGTCAGCTCCAGAAAAGACCTACAACAGCAGAAAGTGGATTGTTCCTGGCATAAAAAAAAAAAAAATAAAAATAATAAAAAAAAATCACAGGTATGGATTTATCTATCCAAAGAAAAAGAGTATTCAAGGGACAATATGCCCCAAAAAAGGTAATTTTTAAAATAGGATTCAAAATTTTTGCGGGGAGAGGAGTGTCTTGGCACAATTTTCTGAAATAGTTCAATATAAAAATGTTAGTCTGAACAAGCCTTTTGTGAAACTATAAGTTTGTATTAAAAACAGGGGATTGTGGGAACAGTCCATTATTCAAATAAGTCATATTTTAAATGGTTCAAAAATTATAAGAATCTCAAATTCCAAGTCAAGTCATTTGATCAGAGTAACAAACACTATCACCATACAAAATTATCTCATGTTAACTCCTTGAAGGATCTACAAGATTTCTTTAGGCTAAACTTAATATAATTTAATAATTTTTTCTAAAGTTGATTTTTAATTCCCTAGGTTTAGATAAAGATCATATAGAAAACCTTAAAGTTTAATGTCTCAGTTTTTTTCTTTTAAACAAAATTTCACATCACATACAAACCATACCCATCTTGAATTCTGTAAACAGCACAGCACTCTGGGATTAGACCTCTCATCATCAGTGCTTTCTTTAGACTGTCCCGGACTGTAACTCCACACCTTGCAGGTACCTATCATATCGTAAATATATGTTATGAGATAAAGGAAATAAATTATGTGTTTTTCACATCATTTAAAAAAAACTCAGGAACTTACTTTCATAATACCTTTAAAATGTCATATGGATTACTACGTCAGATATAACATCATTTCTAGAGCGAATTTATATTTAAGGGAAATTTGACAAATATCTATTATTCACCAACTTAAAGCAAAATTTTTAGTTTTTATCAAAATGATGAAATATTTTAAACATATAAAAAAGAACAGAATATATAACAGATCCCTCTGTACCCACTACTGAGGAATAAGAGATGTCAACATTTAAAGCAAAATCAATTCTGATTCAACACTGTTCAAAGCTAAAAACTGTGTAATCCTTCAATCGCACTGATGGTCCTTCAGAGACACCTTACTGACTAAACACTTGTCTTAATGTGTATAACTTATATTTGTTGTCTAGTTGCCTAGCATCCCTATTTCCTTGGGGAACCTGCCTTTTCCTAAAAATCCACATGATACTGGAGAGGCTATATCGATCAAAGGTTGCTACTTTTCTGGCTATACATGACGTTGGCTGGCTAATCAGTTTCCCATGTTCCTGGTAACAGCAACTGATCTAGTACTAGATAATATGGCCCAAATATGACCAAAGTTCTTCCCTCAACTGACAGATGGACACTGGTTGAAAAAAGTTCCTCTTTCTACTGTAGTTACAGTGTGCCAAAAGGATAGAAATCTAGAACCCTCAGTGGCCATCTCTCCCACTCCATTGAGAAAATCTGGTTACAGAAAGACGCTAATTAAGGGAAAAGTAGAGATGACATGGGAGTGGGGAGGGAACAGGCACTGGAGAGCTGTATCTGTATATCTGAAGTTATCCCTATCCCGGCCTTTTATGCACATGCCTCTCCCTCCAATGCATTTGAATAATGTATAACTGAAAGAAAACTGGCAAACGCAGTGTGGACTAAAGTGAGGCAGATGAGGCCATTTTCAGTCAGGGAGAGGAGTGGAGACATCAGGGATGTGTTAGTAACAATAAAATTAAGGTTCCATTCTTTTAAATCACTAAGGTACTTAGCAAACCAAAAGTTTGCAAAGAAATTGGGAATCTTTACACTAGTGGGGAAAATCGAGTAAAAGTGAATATAACACAGCGGAATTTAATAGTATATTAAAGGGGGAATAATCCAGAAAGCCAAATTAGGACTCATGATTAGAAAAAACAGGATGCCATTTTAGTTCAATATAATCATTAAAACCAGCCAGTAAGGGAAAAGTTTATCTAGAAGGAGGAGGCTCATCACTGGAAATATGCAAGCAACTGGGTTGGTACAGTTGATCTTTATTTGTGCATTCCGTATCTGTGAATTTATCTACTTCCTAAAACTTATTTATAACCCCAAAATCAATACCTATAGTGCTACTGTGGACATGTGCAGAGCAGTGAAAAATCTGAGCTGCCCGACAAGCGCCTTCCCAGCTGAGGCTGACCACGGTGACACTCTGCCTTCTAGTTCTAGCTCTCATACTGTAAACAAGTGCCCTATGCCAGCGGGCTTTTAAGCTAATGGACCCCAGCCTGCTGTGAAAAAATAAACAACCTAGGGGCCAATATACAGAGGCCACCTTTGGCTCATTTATGTAACGGTAACCCTGTATATCCCCTAGGATCAGTGGTTTAGTAATTTAGTGTTTGCAACAGATTTATAGAACATAACTACTGTGAATTAGCTGTATCTTCCAAAGATAATAAACTGAAGGGAAAGCTCACTTTTTCACTCTGCTACTCATAGTCTACCTAACTTAGTGCAAAAACTTCTTGACTGGAAACCCTAGCTTTAGTTTTAAACCCCATTCAATCTATCCTATCACGTTTCCATAGATATTTGTCTAAAGAAGGTATTCTTAACTGTGGTGTGTGTCAGGCTTCTGTGGATCTGATGAAAACATCAGATGTTCCTTCTGACATAAAATTTCAGGGGGTTTGCAGAATCTGAAGCTCATATACAGACTGCTGAAGAGTGCAATGAACTCAGAGAACCCCTAAATAAAATCCTACATTTCGTTAGTCTGTGGAAAAATTTCCCATTATTTATAGGGCAAAATTCAAATTCCATAACATGGCATATAAGGCCATCGATGAACTGGGGCTGTCTACCCTTAGTTCTCGTGGTAATTTCCCTCACACACTCCTGTAATATGATCTTCAAATAAACCTACGCTTCCTTATGCTTCTCTGCACTTGATTCTAAGGTGTATGTATTATTTCATCAGTAGGCAAAATTTTGGTTTTCTGCTCTATCACCAAGGGAAACTCATCAATCAATACTTCATTCCATTTCTGTAGGCTGATTTTTTGTACTGCTTGCTCCTTCATGATAGTATCTGTTGAATAGACTGACAGACCAATGGAACACAAAAGAAAGACCAAAAGAGACTCCAACACATAAAGAAAATTAGAATGAAGACAGCATCTGAAATAAGTTAAAGATAAACTTTTTAATAATTTTTGTTGGGACAACTATACCCAATCTAGAAAAAAAGTTCATCTATACCTCATACTGTATACTAGGGCAAACATCAAATGGATCAAAGATTTAGATCTGGAAAGAAGGAAGAAAGGGATAAACCATAAAAGAACTGGAAGAAAACAAGGCAAACTCCTTTATAACCTCAAGTGAAGAAGGCTTTTATGATGCAAAATCTGGAAACCATAGGAGACAAAATATTAAATTCAACTACATAAAATTAAGAACCTTTTAGATGGCAAAATAAACAAATGCACTATAAACAAAGGCAAAAGACAAATTCAAACTGGTAAAAAACATTTGCTTTTCAGATAATCGCATATAATCTTTCTGATAGAGTTGAGAAATTACAATCAAGACCAAAAACCCAATTTAAAAAAATGGGCAAAGGACATGAAAGACAGCTCACAGAAATACAAACATAAACAGTCTTCAAACATAGGAAAAGGTGTTCAACTTCACTCAAACCTGCCAAGATAGTTTTCATTTATCAGAGCGGCAAAAATCTAAAAGATTGACAACATATTCTGCTGATGAAGCTGTGGTAAATAGGCATCTCATACATGCTGGTAGCAGTGCAAAACTAAGCAAGACCTATGAAACAAAACTTGAAGGTATTTATCAAAATCATAAATGTAAATTTCTCTTTGATCCAGGCAGGCCTACTTTTGTACACTGGTAAACTACAGTTTCGTGTATCAGTAATGCATTTCTTTCTATGGATAGACTACGATGTGTTTAACCATTCACCTGTTCATGGACTTCTGGGTTATGTCTAATTTTAGACTATTAGAAATAAAGCAACTAAGAACATTTTTGCACAAATCTTTGGGCATATGTTTTCTTTCCTCTTGGGTAAATACCTAGGAGTAGAATATGGCTGAATCATATGCTAGGTATACGTTTAACTTTTTATAAAATTGCCAAACTTTTTTCTATATCCATTAAATAACTCTTCATTTCCCCTTTCCCCAGGCCCTAACAACTATCATTCTACTTTTCTGTCTCTGTGAATCTGACTACTCTAGGTACCTCATATAAATAGAATCATGTATTATTTTTTTTCTTTTCTTTTTGTGATTGGCTTATTTCACTTAGCATAAACATTTATCAATGCTGTAGAATGTGTCAGGCTTTCCTTCTTTGTAAGGCTGAATAATATTCCATTGTATGTATATACCACATTTTGTTTATCTATGCGTCTGTTGATGGACTTTCTAGTTTTCCTTTATTCTATGTTGTTCGAATTTTTCCAGCTCTATTATGAAAAATTTCAAACATATAGAAAATTAGAAGGAATAATAGAATTAACAACCAAATTCTCTTAGATTCTAAAATTATTTTTTCATATTTATATTTTTATCTTTTATGTATGTATCTTATATATTTATATAATTTACATATTTACATATTTTTATAAATTTTGTTTTCCATCATACCATTTGACAGTAAGTTCTGAATTGAGATAAAAGTCAGAAAATGGTTATTTTTGAGAATGAGATGGACACTAAAGAATCCTCTCAAGCATTAGAAATGTCCTATATTTTGATCTGCATGGCAGTTACATCTGTAGAACGTCATTGATCTGTAGACTTGAAATTTGTATACTTTAAATTATATTTCAAAAAGAGCAGGAAAAAAAGTTGTAGGCATAACACTTAAGCGTGTATTTCCTAAGAATAAAGATATTTTCCTACATAACTATTATCACATTTTTAAGTTAATTGCATGTAACATCTAATACTCAGTCAACATTCAAAATTTTTCAGTCTCAAGAATGTCTTTTATGGCTCTTCCACCCTATTCCCAAACCAGGATCACAAACTGAATTTGGTTGTTATGTCTCTTTAGTCTTAGTGTAGAATAATCCCCAAGCTTTTTATCCTCTATGACACTGAGTCCAGGCCATGTATCTTATAAGATGTCCACATTCTGAATTTGTTTAATTATTTCCTCATGGTGCTTAACTTTTCCCTCTACCTACTGTGCTTCTTTTGTAACACAGAAGGTCCAGAAGCTTGACATTTAACTTACAATCATTTTTAGCAAGAATACTTCATAGATAACTGTCATCCACAGAATTTTAAATCTGAAGACCTAAAAGTTCTATTTGGTTCCTTCTTAGGAATCTAATCTAGCTGTTTCTAAATCTTCTAACTCACTAATAGTAGACTGTTTCCTGGTATATTTTATTAACTGGGATTTTGAACTAGTCAGTAGGACAGTCTCTGTGAATTCCATGAGATCTAGATGGGCCAGGCAGGGTATGCATCTGCTTTTTGCCCTGTGCCTGAGTGCTATTACCACTCTAGGACCTGCAGTTATGTTAATTTCTTGTGTTGCGGGTTCATGAACAATGCAGGTAGTATAAATATGAACCTCCCACTACGGTGAGATTAGGCCTACAGTTAAAGAGTTCACAGGGGAATTTTTAAATTTTATCTGGAGCCCTGACAAAGACAGACAAGTTTCATTGTTATTTATGTATGCTGGTAAACACATTTTCTTTTAGTTCACATTTTCACTGAAGGTAAAGCTCTTCAAAGCTCAGCTTTATGTGAAGATCTGAGTTCCAACTACCTCCATGACACAAGCCAAAGGCCTACTCTTGAATTTCCACACATTGACCCTCACATCCATTTGCTGCACAGGGTGACAAAATGACCCCACTGGAGGTCACTACAGCACAGGTGAGCAAACTTTTTTCCATGAAGAACCAGCATTACTACTCATGCTGTCTGAGGAAAAAAATTACGAACTGCTTTGAGTTCAGTAGCATTTGGAAATGAAATTTTTTTTTTATTAATATCAAAAGCACCCATACACATTATAAAAAGTAGTGATGTATGTAGGTGCATTATTACTAAGTCTACTGACAGTACTTATTGCACATTAGGACTATGGGCCATCCGTAATAATTCTGCAGGTTTCTCTGCTTAAATGTTACTTACAGAGAACTCTGTTCCAATGGCAATACTAATGATCGACAATCAAAAATTATGTAAACAAGAGGAAAAAGATCAGGCACAATAAAAATTCCACATTTAATAATAAATCCAAATAGGGATTTCTCAAGTGTGAAGAATAAATCTTACCTGATACATGTTGGACAACAAACAAGCACAAGTCTTAAATTTCTGACTGACTGAGTTAGTACTTAGACTTGAGTGTGCTTTAAGTGTGGCAGATAGGTTTAAATGTCAAATCTGACACTAAGAACAATACTGTTTGTTAGAATTAAGACTTTGGCACCAAATAATTATGTCTTTTCCATTCTTGTTTGAAATGGATGCTTCAATATGCATGACCACTGAGTATGTATATTTCATTTTCAACAACTGGTCTTTATGAAAAAATACAAAGAAAAGGCAATGATAATATTAAAAGTTGACTCACCACTGTCCTCTGTTTGTTGGGCAGGAAGACTCTAACAATAGGTTTTTGTGGTGATTTAGGGTTGCTCCGTGACACATCTGTGGGATTTTGAAAAACTGAAAGAGATGAAGGTAGCACTGAAAGGCTAGAAGAGGAAGAAGATGTAACGGTGTCCGTTGATGCAGAGCTAGAAACAGAAAAATCAGTTCCATTCCCCAGGGATTCCAATAACTGTTGTTCTCTTTGTTGGAGGGCATCTAGCTTGCTGGTGTATTCTTCATAGGCCTATAAAATAAAGTAGACTTACGTTGAATCTGGACTTTTTCCTTCCTGACATTAACAAAAAGAAATATAAAATTTAAGCCCTTGTTTATAATCTCTATAATCTAGCTGACAAGGTTTTAAGCTGTAAATTACAAAGTGCTAGAAGTACTGTAAATTAATATTTTTACCTTTAAATTGATAAATCTTTTGTTATGACACTATGTTACATTGAGAACCTGATATGTAAATAAGAGATATCTAGAATATCTATGACTATTAATAAAAGAAGATATATTTGCAATTTTCTGGTCAAATCCTAATTTACCTTCCAAACTACTTATCTAACATAAAATATTACACTAAGGACATCAAGGATAAATACCTCTTCCATTAAAAATGTATTTTTTCCCAAAATGCTATAGGCACATAAAGTTTCATTACCGTTCCCTAAAGAACAGAAAAATAAATTGAAAAGGAGATGAGGTATTAGAGAAACTCAGGTACACAGAGCCAGATCTTGCCATTATCACCAAAACTTTCTCAGTAGGGCTTGGAAGATGTATAACTGCCATCTTCTTTCTAAAATAGCTATTAGTTAAAATACTTTATTCTTCTCACTATGGAACTCTGATGGCCTCCTTCCCTCTAAAATATTGCTCAGAGAATAAAGTTTTATTTGAAAAGGTGGTACATGTTGGACAACAAACAAGCACAAGTCTTAAATTTCTGACTGACTGAGTTAGTACTTAGACTTGAGTGTGCTTTAAGTGTGGCAGATAGGTTTAAATGTCAAATCTGACACTAAGAACAATACTGTTTGTTAGAATTAAGACCCTGCAGTCAAGAAATTCTGAGACCACTGTCCATCAGGGTATCTTTCTAGAAGTTTCATTTGACTAAGGCTATAAAGTCAAACGACCACATAAAATATCATATTCTAAAAGTAGGAAGAATGCTGAAAACAGAATGATATTGAAAGAGATGAAATGAACTGAAACATACATGTCCATAGTTCTTTAAGGCAGGGGTAATAACCCTCCCCCCACACCATGGTCTACCACTTCTCCCCACCACCACAAATAGATCCAGTGCTACGAACATTTATAAAAGGCTACAAGGGAGAATAAAAGATGTGGAAATGACATTTCCTACTGCTCAAGGAGTTCATGACTGGGCTGCAGAAAAGCAGATGAATGTATTTTTACTTGTGCAAGTGCTGTATATGAGAAATAAAGAACATTATTGATACAAGAATGAGCACAGAGGAAGGCCTTAAAAGATTAGCATTTAGGTAGATGAAATTAAGTGGAGAGAAGAGAGTACTGTGTAAAGGATAATCTACATATCAAAATAAAGCAGCAGAAAAATTTAAACATAGAGGAAAAACTATAGACTGGTATAGCTTATTGTCACATAATACCTGGGACATAGTAAGAGATCAATATATATTTATGAAATTTAAATGAAGAATAGGAACACAGGGAAATAATAAGACTGAAAAAGTGGAGACCAGACTGTAGAAAATATACATACTAGGCTATGAAGCATGAACTTCATTCTATAAGCAAGGAAGAATTATCAAAGGTAGAGGGGAATGAAGGAAAAACTTCATTTCAAAACAGTCACTAGACCTGGTATGCTAGATTTTATCATATAATTTGGGGGAGGGGGAGGGAAGGGAGAAAGAAAATATTAAAATGAGCTACTGAGGTAAAGAGCCTAAACTACATCAAAATGCCCTTTCCTTTACAACCGATTAGTTCCCCTACCCTGACTCTGAAATGTTTCACAGCATTTCAGGACATAATAACCAAATCAATTCAAATATTTCTGAGCTGCATTTCCATTAAACTTTTAGTTCCAAAGGCTGACTTAAGGGCATCTCTTTTAATATGATCTACTTACTGAGCCTTAAATCATTCAATAAATATATACTGGACATACATGTGCCTGGTGCTATTTGGGGCTCAGGCTACAAAAATAAAGATTGACGCAATTCCTACCCTTTGAAGATTATATACACGCTGTATGGGAGACAACAGTTCCTCCTTTCAAAGATCAAATGTTCCTATTCGCTGTCATCTGAGTAGCACATTTACTATACAAAGTTAGCCTTAGAAAAGTAATAAATGTAAACAATACATTTTCTGAATGTTATTTACCAAATGTTAGCCTTAATTTTTGAAAATACACCGTTCTTTCCATCGTGATTGTAAACTATTATTCCACTGCATTTATCAGTAGCTCTCTTCCTTTTCTTAAGTACAAAACATTTACTTACTCTACCTCTCCACTGTCGCAGCTGCAATCTACCAAGGTACTTGTCTACCTTGTTTTGTACCTCGCTTGGCTCATTTCACCCCATTATCCTGGCTGCATTCAGTGTGTATGATCATTACTCTTTTAACACTCCTGCCTTAATTCTCAAAACCTCGTATCTCTAAAGCCATTTATTTCCATCCTACCTTCAAGATCCAGAAATATACTAGTCTTTTACAAAATAGTTTCAAATGATGACAAGATCTCAAATTGGAACCTCCAACACCCCTATGCACATACATAGCAAAAACCCAATAAATATTTTTATTAGTAGTTAAAGTAGTACTAGTAATTCTTGTTGTGGTTATTACTGTTATTACTATATTATTTAGCTGAGTTCTTGACATGACTCTACTAAACTATAAATTGAGGTCACAGATCATGTCATTTATTTTTGAGCTGAAAAAAATCTAATAACATTTAAGATTATTAAGATGACTACCCAAATTTATCTACAGATTCAATGCAATCCTTGTCAAAATCCCAATTATTTTTTTTGCAAAAATGGATAAGATGATCTTAAAATTCACATGAAGTGCAAAAGACTCAAAATAACCAAAACAATCTTGCAAAAGGAGGACAAAATTGGAAGATTCACATTTCCTGATTTCAAAAGTTACTATAAAGCTACAGAAATCAAGACATGTGGTACTGGAATAAGAATACACATGCAGAATAACACAGTAGAACTGAGGGTCCAGAAATAAAGCCTTACATTTATGGTCAATAGATGGAAGGATAAACAAAATGTGGTATCTACATACATATGACTATTATTCAATGTTAAACAGAAAATTTTGACAAGCCAGTCACAAAAAGACAGATATTTTCCCACTTATATGAAGTTCCTAGTGTAGCCAAATTCATTAAGACATAAAGAACAATGGTGGATCTCAGTGGGTAATCAATACAGTTTGTTTTTCACTGGAGGGCCTTTAAATATCAGTACCCACAGGTCTTTTCCCCGGGCCTGGTCAATTTTCTCCAGGTAAGAATACTGTAATCGCAATTGGTTCCTCTTAATAATATATCAAACACTGCTAAGTTCAATGTTTTCACTCATTTATGTTTGTCTGTAATTCCCTCCCCTGATTAAAATACAAGCTGCTTGAAGGTAGAGTTTTGTTGTTGTTGTTGTTTAATTGCTATATCACCAGAGGCTAGAAAAGTATAAATGTTAGCAGGCACTCAATAAATATCTGTTGAATTAATGAATCAAAGATATATGGAGCATTTAATATGTTATCAGGAAGTATGCTATTTCATACTTATAAACGCAATCCTTAAATTACCCCATGTGTGATATTATTCCCATTTTACCAATGAGGGGAGGTATAGGGAGGACAGGTAACTTGTCTACAGACTAAGGCACAGCCAGGATTCAAACACAGGGTCTGTGTGACTCCACAGTTCATCTCAACCACTATATTATACTGCCTTCTACAGAGAAATGATGTAGTGTTAGTCCCGAGAATAGGAATCTATACGCTAACAATATAACTTATGAGGTATGGTCTGCTGTATACTGTCCTAGTTAGATGTAATTTGAAAATCAAAAAGCCTCAAGACTATGTGTGTAGAGGGGGCACTGAATCTCTGCTACAGTGAGACATGGTTATTGATACAAATATATTCCATCTGAGGGTGGGGAAAGTCCACCAAGACAGAGAAATGGTTGGCTAATACTGATTAACAAAGAATTACTATTTTCCCCAGCACCATTTGCCCCCTTATGACTCCTCTGCTTGTCCTCCACAGACGGACAAGTAAAACAGACAGCATGGCATATTAAAAAGTACATTAACTAGTAACTGGAAGTATAAATTTTAGTCCTAGCACTGACACTAACTGGCAGTGTGCTCTGGGATAGCCATAGGAAGATCATAGTTTATCAGCAGTTATTTACAGACCTCCAAGTTTATTTTGGAAATGCAAACTTACTGTCTTATGAAATACTTAAGATTTTATTTGCCCTTTAAAGGTAATTAGATTACTAAATTAGAAATTTAGTTTATGAGTCTGTCAATCCATGTCTAAAAATCTCTGGCATTTGAAGGCAAATGGTAAAGCTGATCATTTGTAATTTAGGGTTTTACCCCTGTATGACTAGTGATTACAGCTGGAGCCCACTTTCATAGGGACAGGAAGGATAGCATAGTGGTGAACAGTGTAGGCTGTGCAGCCTGACAATCTAGATTCCATAATAGCGTGCTTGCTGTGGAACCTGAGTGACTTATATAAGGAAACTAATGCCAAGACAGCTTATCTGTGATTATAATAGTAACTACTACCTCACAGGATTAAGGACAATGACTTAACTATAAATTTACAATGATGCTCAAGGCTTAATACAAACACCTCGAAGCACTATTAAACAGCAAAGCTAAGCAATTTTCTGCTATTTAAATATTGTAAATTTTACTTATAAAGAAGCAAAAACCAGTTTGGGGAGATCTGTTCCGGAAAAAAGATATCTTACAAAATTCTCCCCGTTTTCTAATATGGTACCTAGTTTGATGACCTCCACAACAGAATGCTTTCTTCTCTTTTTTAATAAGTTTTATTTTACCAGAGTAATATTCTGAAGTTTATGTATGCTTTTTCTTTAGTTCTGACATTCTCCAAATTACAAAATACTATGTATTTATTTTAACAAGCGAAACACGATTAAGAAGCATAATAAAGACAAAGCTAATTCTCTCTTCCCATTATCTATTTCTAATCCCACCCACTAAGATAACCAATATTACCAGTACAAATGCTTTTTATAAGTTCATATTTTTTCTTTTCAAAATTACTACAGATATGATACTCAAACGCTTACCTCCAGATATATTGATGGTGGATTATGCTCCCCACCAAATTTGTCCAATAGGGCCTCTATATGTTCCTGTGTCAACTTTATCATTTGTTTGATATTCCACACCTAAAAAATATTTTAAAACAATTTAAACAAAAGTCATTTAGGACAGGAATTAGAAATATTTTAACATTTCTATTAAAATATTACAGTAACTGCCAGCATTCCTTGAAATTTAGAGCCAAGAGACTTTAGAGATAGATCATTTAGTCTAGTTTTTTTTCCTCTTATTAAGCATTTAAAATTTTTTTGACACTAGTAATATAACATATTCTTGACTATAAGAAGTTTAAATAAGACATGAGTATTCAGAATAAACGATGGAAATCTCTTTTCACCTTCCCCGCATTCCTGGGCCCCATGCCAAAAAGGTAAGTGCTATTTACAGTTTGGTATGCATCCTTCCACATCTCCTTTCTACACAAGTGAAAAACATAAACACGCATACATAGAATATATAGACACATATATTATATATAAATTTTTAACACTTGCTTTTTTCACTGAACAACATGCCCCATCATATGTATTTTACTTTTTAAAGAAGTTATATAAGCATCCTTTTAAATAGTTGTATTAAGTATACATACATTCATTTCATAATATTGTTATGACATTGCTTATTTCAATGATCTTCAAACTTCAATGGTAACCTAAGTTAGGAGGACGTGAATACTTTCAGGAGATTCAATTTCCAGATCCTCAACATCTATTTGTACTCTTCCTAATTATCTGCTTGAGAACTAGTTCTCCTTTTTTCCTCTCTTTTTAAATCACCACTTTTTAAATCTCCATTTTCTAAAAGAAAAGCAATGTTCTTATCCACCTCTAATACTACTAAAGATGCACTGTTGTGAGATGTATAAACTCTAAGGTACTTAACAAACAAGAGGAAAAATCTCTTGAAAGAAAAGCAGGGAAAAATTCAGAGCAAGATCTTACTCTATCAATGATGATCCTGGCAAGCCTCCAAGCCTTATCCATTCATCCAGCCAGCCTAGAATTCAGAAGTCTGGTGGTTGTAATACCCATGCATATTACATGTTTATTTTAAGATAACTAAAGAGTCTGTTTTGTTTTTTTTCTTGATGAAAATGAGTCCAGTTTACGAGTGGTCTGAGAACTTGCTTTGCAAAATTATGTGGTAGATTACTCTAATAAATTGAATGATCTAAAACCTTCAATTTCAACGTGTGACTAAAAATTTTTAACATACATATAATACATACTAGGAATTATGGCCTTTTAAACTACTTAAAATTATAATGAAAAAATGTGAGAAAATTTAAAGATGTACAAGGGGGAATAGATGAGCAATGGGTTTGAGGAGCCCTGGCTTATTTAATAATTTCCTTACAAGAGGACATTTAAATTATTCCATTTTTCTCAACTTCGAATAATGCTTCAATAAACAGTTCTGAACTGCCTTTCTGGGAAAAGGTACAGGTCTTCCTTTTAGATATAAAGGCAAAGGATTCCTGGATTGAAGGACATGCACATGTAAATTTTAATAAATATGCCAAATGGTCTTCCAAAAGAAAAAAAGTCAAGTCAGACTCCTATATTTGCAGGGTGAGTCCACCCTTTCCCCACAATCCCACCACACTGAGTACTATCAAACTTCTCCACTTCTGGCAATCTGAAGTGAAAAGATGATTTTATTTTTAAATTTGTACTTTCCATAAAGCTGAGCATTTTTCATATTTATTGGCCATTTAAATCTATTTTTGAAAAATTCCCTATGCACATCCTTTCTGCCTTCTATTCTTTTTTTTTTCCCTCTCTTGTTGATTTATGGATATCTTTTATTCTGGATATTCATCCTTCTTATTCTCAAATAAATGTTATAGTCTTTCCTTGTTTTACACTTTATGTCTCTTTTGTCATATAAAGTGTTTGCTTCTTAAAGTGTGGCCACAGACAACCAGCAGCATGATCTTCTGGAAGTTTTCTGGAGTAGCAAAATCTCAGGCCCTATTTCATACCTACTGAATTTTAACAATATGATTCATAATAAAGTTTGAGAAGCAATGACAGAAGTTTCAAATTTTTGCAATAGTCCAATATTGCAATATTTTCCTTTATGACTCCTTGGCTAATTTCTCATATCCCCAAAGAGTAGTGGATGTCTTTTTTTTCTCTAGCTGCACATACTCGCCAGGTGATTTTATTCAATCTTGTGGCTTTGTATGCCAAATACAGGACTGTAAAGCCCAGATTTTTAAATCTAGCTGTCTTCTCAACTCCATACTCTTCTAGTCCACTGCCTACTGAATATTTTAACTAAGAAAACTAGCAGGCATCTCAAACATAACATGTTCAAAACTTAACTTCCGAGCTACCTCCGAGCCCCGCCAAATACTTGTTTTTCCTAGTCTCTTCATCCAAGAAAATGATAAACTCCCTCTATAATGAGTTCATTGACCATCTAGGCAGAATTGCTTTATAGTGAGAATTTGATGTTGTAAAATTGATTGTTTTTCATGTTTATTAGCTACTTCGAGACCAAAAACATGTTTTATTCACTTGTCCTCTCATCACTTATCTTGGTGTTTTAGTCCTAAACAGGTATACAATTAATGCTAGAGCTAAGATTTAAGCTGTCTTCAGAATAGGATGAGAGAAAAAAATTAATCCTTTTCAGTGATTCTTTCCAATCCAATACACTGAAGACTCTACTACCCACAGCCTTTTTGTTTTTTAAAGCTCCACAGATAAAACTCATGTACAGTTAGGATAAAGAACCACTCTCGAAAAAATGGGAGAGAAAAAGGGAGAAAAAAAGGATTAGAGATGAGGAATGAGCATGGGGAAATGTGGAGACTGAGATGATTAGAATAAAATTTTCTTGCTGGGGAAGAGAAAACTATAAGATCGGTTAGTCAGGGCAGGGCCAGACCATGAATGTCTGGAAATCTGATTTCTTATCTTCCCAAACAAGAGTAATTTTATATCCAAAGAATAAACAAAAATCACTATGAGTCCTAGTTCAAATTAGAGTAGATGAGCCTGGGAGAGAAAATTCTTTCAGATTTCCCTCAAAGAGTAAAAACTTTAATTAATATGTATAAAATAGATATAAAAAAGATATTAAAAAGTAAAATAAGATATTGTAAAGTTAACAGTAGATATATAGTTTTGGCCTTAAAATGCCTTCTTGGAAAAATAAGAAAATCTATTACAACAATCCTAAAAGGTAAATGAAAGAATTAAAAACAAAAACAAAAACAAATTCAAGGAAGGTACCAGATCTCCTGTCTTGCTTTGATCTCTTCAACAGACCACAGCAATTATAACCAGGCAATTAACAATTGATCACTTCTAGTGATGTTACAAATGGCAAAATTCCCTTTCCAAAAAAAGGTCAAAATAAGTTTAAAAACCTAGCTCAGAAGATGCTTATGTTAAAATATAAATGCAGACAAACTGCTATGGAAGGAACCGAAGGGCAACAATGGCACAAAAAACTAGAGCCACTGGTTTTTCTCCTCCCAATAAAAAGGTATCAGGTCCAGATTATTATATGATTGGTTTCTATCAAAACTTTAAAGAAAATGCATTTCCAATGATTAATAGGTGACTATACATTAAAAATTTCTTTAACTCATTTTATGAAGCTAGCAAAATATAGATGCCAAACTTTATAAAGATAATACAAAAAATAAAACCATAATATAATCCAATCTGTAAGGACAAACTCTTAAATATGATTTAATACTATATATATGATTTAATGCCATAGTCACTGATTATGAATCCAGTTACACAATTCTTAATAAGTCAAAAGAAGAAATTACAGGACTACGGTAATAGATGCCAAAACACAAATGATGATGATGATGATGACGATAACAATAGAGACATGGTCTTAAATTTTCAAGAAAATTATTAAAAGAATCATGGTACTAAAAGCAAGGAGGCTAGAGCATCAGTCATTCAGTGGGTAAAAATCTGATTAATTCTTGTAAAATAGAAAACAAATATAATCACCTTGACAGAAAAATCAAAGCTAATAAATTTTAGACCAAAATATAATAAGTTTCCACTGAGATAACTCTAGAAGATATACAAGTTTAAAGACAACACACATAAAAAAGAAGCATGAAGAAATCATAAAGGCCTGAATTTTGAATCATATAGTCATCAAAATAAAGCTTCAGTTGAAGTAACAGATTAAAGCTGAAGAGAGTTAAAGAACTAGAAGATGATTAGGAGAGAACATTAGCTAAAAGGCAGAGAAAAATAGGTTAAAAAAAAAAAAAACACGAAAGAGATAAAAGAATTAGTCCAGAAGGCAAACAGAAAATGCTTTTATGTGTAGACTCTATATCATAACAATCTCAATTTCCCCCAAATTAATTCAGTGCAGTGCAATAAACAAAATCCCGAGAGATTTCTTCCAATGGAATTTGACACACCGATTTTAGTATTCTCATGGAAGCACTGTAAAATGATAGCCTTTTAACTATTTTAAATAATAAGGAAGGTAAGACTGGTGTTCCCAGACAGCAAGACATAAAGCAATAGCATGGTACAGGGATAGACAAACAGGGCAAAGGGACTGAAATGGAGGCGTAGGTATTTTTATACATGGCATATGGTTTGTGTTGGCATTATAATTTAGTGGGGTCAGGATGGACTATATAATGAATAATGCTGAGGTAACTGGCTATCCTTTCGGAAAAGGTAAAATAATCCAAAAGAAAAATGGGCAAAGGATTTATGAACACGTAGTTCACTAAAGAGAATTCAGAATATCCAATAAACACGAGACAAAAATAAATGACCTCATTAATGATCAAAGAAAGGTAAATCAATATGAGAAACCATTTCGTACCCATGAGACTGGCAAAAAATTTTTTTCTAATGATATACCAAGAGTTGGCAACCATGTACAGCTGTAAGTATATGTCAACATGTATATATCTCAAAAACAAGTGAAAAAAGCAAGTTCCAGGATATGTACCACTTTAAAACATGCACTGATATTGTCTGTAGATATAAACCCAGGGCAAAAATACAGAAACATGCATGAGTATGATGAACACTAAATTTGGACAGAATAA